GCTAGCTTTTGGACAAGTCTTCACACCCTTCAGAAATGAACAGTCATTATGAGGCAGTCCTTTGCCTCAGGCATGTATTTCTCTTTTTGGAATATACAGATCCTTATGGCTACAGTGGCCTCTGCAACATGCTGTAACCTTATCTTCCTGCTGTCAGAGTACAGGGGCTTCTCCTGTGGAGTCACCTGGCCTGTGACATGCAGACCCTCTGGCCTGGCAGGGAACAGCATGTGTTGTCACTGATCAATACAGGCCAGTCTTTTACCCTTTTTACTGGCGTTTCTCTGGTGCTCATACACATGCATTTCCATTCCTACTTCATTCATATCTATTTTCTGTTTCAAGTTGTAACTTATTTATGACCTCAAAGTATGGCAAAGAGATGGCCTGGACAATAGGATACCATTAAGCACTTTTACCATGCTCAAACAATGTTCTATCCTCTATTTAGGTTTCTTCATGGAACCCACTGTATTCACAGATGTTGAAGACCATATGTATATTGCCCAGGAAGAGTCCTTTGGTCCTGTGATGGTTATTTCTAAATTTAAAAATGGGTATGTTCTCCTCTTGTCACTGTTAGAAACTTCATTTTCCTATTTCCCCCCTAAGTGAAGAAGTGATAGCATATTCAGTATTTTGTTAAATCTTGTTAGACCAATCTGAATACCTAGATCCTCTTCCAGCTAAATTCTGAGAAAATACATTTTTTTAGTAGGGGGTATCCTGCTCCATATCAATATAGACCTAATGCTGTTGGCAGCGTGTGACAGGATAGAATGCAACCCTAAGTGCCAGTTCTTAAACAAGACTTAGTTTTCAGGGAAATGTTTTATTGAAGTTGATGTGGTAATTGCAACAGCTTGATTAAATTACAAAATGTGTATTTTTCCCGGTGGAATTGCTGATTTTTTCTGTCACAAAAGACCACGAAGTGTTGTTGTGCATTGTGTAGCACTGGCATGTTACTGTTGCAAATGAAAATTCCTCTGTATGTTTTGTAAACTGCCAGTTTTAATATCTTTCATTCCAGATCATAAGAATTATTTTACACACAGATGAGATTGAAACCCTACATAGAAACTTCATATAAGTATTTCCACCAGGTTTCATTTTCTGCACTTTGATAACGCAGTTAAGAACGAGCCACATAGATAACCCTTCACATCCATAAATTATGTACAATGCTAAGGAACTGTATTGAATTTTCTAAAGTTTTAAACTGTTATGGATTTTTGAAGCTATATGGAGATGACATGCAAATAGAAAAGAAGTACTCTGGAAATGGCCTGAAAAGTTGTGTCTTGATAGAAGGCATAATAATAAATGCTGACTTGCAGCATTTATTCTCCATTACCTTGTAAAGCTGGCCAAAAATTTAGCAAACTGATTCATCATCTGCTGCCAAGCTCTGTTTTACAAGTATTTTTGTATTGCTTTAATCCCCAAGTTGTACAGTAGCTGAGCAAAGGTGGCATGCATACAGCAACATTTCCTGTGGCATTTCTCAGTGTAGATATTAACCATTGAAACATAAGGCCAAAAGCTTCACAAGTTTGAAGCAATGGTGTGAATTTCCATGGATCTGTCAGATTGACACACCGATCCGTCCTTAACAAGTTGTCTTTAAAAAGGCTCCTTGGAGAAGGCAGGCCATGAGAAAAGGTGCTTCAGTCACACTGAAGGTGGAAGGTGGCTAACACTTGTTTACTTTACCTAGATGCAATTAGATAATTTCTTTCTCCCACAGGGATGTCAATGGAGTATTGCGACGGGCAAATGCCACAGAATATGGCTTAGCTTCAGGAGTTTTCACAAAAGACATAAGCAAAGCTCTCTATGTCAGTGAAAAGCTAGAAGCTGGAACAGTTTTTATTAACACATATAACAAAACTGATGTGGCAGCACCATTTGGTGGATTTAAGCTGTCTGGCTTTGGGAAAGATTTAGGTAAGTTCTCTCCCTCTCTTGTTTCTCATCTGAGAGTCCTAATCAATGAACAAAACATTTTACCTGTGTACAGGGTATCCAGTAAAACGTGAGCTATGGATGCACTTCCTGCAATTCCTCCAATTACAGTAATCTAGTTTCTCTCCCTTCCTTCAATATTCACACCTCAATACCTCCCATTCAGCTCTTCCTGTACATTTACTAAATAATGCTATAGCACACAGAATATTCCCCCTCCAACTGCTCTCAGAGCAGTCAAATTGCAACTTGTCCAGAACTGCCTACAGGCTGCAAAATGCTGTCAAGTAACAAAGATACTGGCCAAAATCTTTTTTCCCCTCAGAAAGAACACTAATTTAGGTTTCTCCTGTAAACTTTAAAGAGCATGGGAAACTTTTTTATGCCTTAAAATGTCACCAAAATTTGGCAACAGCCACAGAGAAAGATGCATTAAAAATATTTTCTTTACAAAACGAGTTTTTAAAAAAATTGAAGTCTACCCTGTCACAGAAACTTTACAAGTCTGGACAGATCAATCCTCAGGACAAGGAAAAAAAGGAAAACCAAATTTCACTAACACAACAGATTTTTGCCTTTGGAATATCCAAAGCCATTTCCTGAAACTGAGTGATGGTAACAGGGGAAAAAAAAAGATTACTGATTTTTACACAGCTTCTCTACACCTATAAACTTTAACACAGGCAAAGCAAAGTTCATAAATTCATCTATGAGCCCTCAGTGGCCATCTAAAGACTGCTGCTGCTCCAGTCCCACCCGGGGGGCTGCTTGTTAAATTCCAGCTCTTTTTTCTTTCCAGCTCTTTTTTCTTTCCACATCTGTTGGGTTTGACCTCTTCTTGTCAAAACAGTTCTGTAAATCTCAGTGGGAAGGTAATTAGTTCCCATTGTTTTTATGGACTCAAATATTGGCTACAGCATTTAAATTTTTTTTCTTAATAATAGTTACAGCCTGACAACATTCTCTCATTTAGCTGCTATTCTAACAGGGGAATATTTTGCTTGTACAGGTGAAGAAGCTCTTCATGAATATCTCAGAACCAAGGCTATCACTGTGGAATATTAAAGTAACAGCTTCACTTGGGAAGTAAACTTTCAGCAGAGTTTGAATCTTGATGACTACATGAAGCACTCAACACCATGCCTAGGATATGCTGTCTGCAGTGCTACAACTAAGCAAACAAAACAAAACACTCATTCCATGGATAAATTTCTATAAATCAAATCCAAACTTTAGTCTCACTGACAGATAAAGGCTTTTTGAAATTACCCTGAAATTATTTAAATTATGCAGCAGCAACAGTTGGTAGCACAATTCCTGCCTCCCCCCCAAAAAAACCCCTAGAACATGATTCAGTTTATTTTTTTTAATAGAACTGAAGAATGAGTTCTCACATGCCTACTTTGTATTTCTGTGACATAATACTTACATGATTATTTTAAATCATTAGTCATTAGGCTTGAACTAAAATATACTGATTATGCCATTTTTGCTATAAATCAGTTCAAGTTTACAGTAGCAATTAAACACTCTGCTCCGGTGATTCTTCAGCAGTACAAAAACCTTTGTGCCATACATAAATCAATGCAAGAAAGTGCACTTACTATGATCTTTGTATAGTACATACAGAGTTCAACATTGGTGTTAAACTATGCATATCAAGCTAAAGTTACTGAAAATATTTTCTACCTTTTTGTTGATACAGAATGTGTGATCTGCCTGCAATTTGAAAGGTGATTACATTAACAGATTAAAATCACTTCTTGTGTTGTGCATGTGGACTGTTATCACTCTTTCATACAGCATGATTATTATTTTGTATTTCATACTTTTGGGGGTTTTTTAATCTGTGGGAAAATCTCCTGTAAAATGACCAAGGTAAGATGCTGGCTTTAAAACTTTTTTCCCGTTGGAAGAAAACGTTCTATAGATTGAAACCTTATCTAACAAACTATGCCTACTAAGACTACTTGCTCTTAGAATGCAACACCACCCAAAGCTTCATCTGATCTGTGTGCTGCCATTAAAGGTAGCAGTCTGATTCTTTGATTCCCATCCTTCCCCTTTGCTAAAATATTCAGTGGTTTAATCATTGAATCCCAGTAAATCTGCATTTAAGTCACATTGTGAAAGGAAGATCAGAATCCTTGTTGTTTCTCATCACAAATATTACAGAAACAGATACTAAAACTGGAGCTTTAAGTATGGGATTCAAAATAAATTTTGTAAAGAACTGCAGGCTTCAATTCATGACATTAAGTTTAATATTTGAGCAAATACAATAAAGAAAATTTTACTTTCATGGTGTAAAAAATACAAAGTTTCTTTAAGAAACAATGGCATCCAGCATGACAGACACTTCTGAAATGCAAACCAATCTATGAAGTAAATACAACAGCCCAAATCACTGTATTTGATCCATCTCAGGTAAGTATGAATGAGACTCACTGATCCTAGTTTCACAATTGTTTCAAGCTAATCTAAGTACAGGCCAGCTGAAAATTCACCTTTTTATCCTTCTGACAGTGACAGTTGTTAACCAAATGGAGAGAATGGAAATGTAGCAGGGAAAGTGGGGGATGAAAATGTAACTTAAAGCAATTTTAACACCCCAGAGGCACAGTGGACCATTTGAATATGGAGGTTATTGGCACAGCCACGAATGTTTCACATGTGAGCTTGTAACATTCCTGTAAAGGTGCAGAGCTCAATGCAGGAAGAGAGTAAGTAATCCTCTGCCATGGCTGTCCTTACCCACGCCAACCCAGCTGGAAGGACCTCAGCCACTGCTCTGGTGTTCAGCAGTCACTGTCATGAATGCAATGTAGACATACCTCTGAGGTACTTTAAGATAATGTTTAATATGGAAGACGTTGTACATAACAATATAAAAACAAAGCTTTTTTCCTAGTTAACTCTTTCTTGCCCTTGAAGTAAAAATGTCTATCATACTATAAAAAAAGCCCTTTTCAACAAAGCAACAGAACAAGAATTTTAACTTAATTCGTTCAAGTGATCCTTATTCAAGCTGCTTTCTCAGTCTAATCTACTACAAAGTCCATGTCCATGTTTTTGGATGAATCAAATCGTACTTAAATCTTCAGAAACCCAGCCTCCTTCAGTCATGAGTTGATCCTGAATTCTCCACCACGTAAACTATAGCATTTCACACGACAGATGCTACACTGGGAAACAAAATAGTTTTAAGGGCCAAGTCTTCGAAGTGAGAAGACATGAGTTGGTTTGGTTGGGTTTTTTTAAAGTAAAATAAAATGGATTTACTCATTCACTTTGCTGTCCAAAATTTCTATTTTGCCCTTTTCTCCCTTTTGCTTAGGAAACTTAATGTTGTCTATTGTCACTTCATCGCTGACAGAGTCATCTTCAGATTCCGAGTCATCTTCTGAAGTTAGCATCTCCTCATCTGTATCAGAATCACTCAGTTCAACTACAGCCACATTCTGGGGAAAAAAAAAAAAAAATCTTGGTTAACATATTATACATTTCTGTATCACTTCTATCATTGGAGTAAAACATAAAGCAAACACATGAAACATCCTACTACCATAAGAAAACCACAACCACCATATGAAAGACTTTTGGGGTTTCCTAGGATTATGACAAATATCATGAAGAGATGCCTAAATATTTAAATTGTAATTTATCTTGCCCTATAGCACATATAAGGCCTGAATCCAACCAGTGGCCAGTAAATTTTTCTGACAGCTCACACACCAAAGCCCAGGCTGCCTTATCTCTGCCTTTTACCTTGTGGGTCTGCAGGCCAGAAGGCACTTGGCTGGGTCATGCACATACTACCTTCATATTAAAATTTTCTTAACTAAGCATGTGGTTGCAACACTTTAGTTAAAACCAGAAAGAAAATATTGATGTGACTGTGAATAAATAGACAAATACCAGCAATAAAGGATCACAACAACATAACAACTTTTCTAAACTCAAGATCTATAGTCAGTCCTAAAAATACTGACAGAGCACAGCTTAAAGCCAGTTACTACTCTTACACTAAAGTCTTGTTATGCCTTACTAGGCATACAATATAATTGTCCAGTTTCTAAACCAAATTTTCCTATGAGATATTTAAAATAGAATTTGTGACTTGATTCAGAGTTGCTGATTCAAAAGTATGTCTTACTCTGGTCCTAAACTACTCCATCTTCAGTCATTCAATTCTGCAAGTTTGAAAACCAAGTTGTAAGTATCAACCAAATAAGCATTTTTATTATATCTATGTTTTGCATTAGCAGATCACAGACTAAAATGGTAAAGACCTCACCTTATCTATCATATTAGCTCGTTCTAAGATCAGAGAGTTATTTTAATCACATCTAAATTTACTTTATAAAATTAAAACCATAGTAAGTACTTACCATTTCTATAACTTTTTCAGTTGCACTGTCTAGATTTTCAATATCAAATTGATGAGCTGGTGCTGTTATCATTTTTCTTTTGAGCTCATCATTTGCCTGGGCCATCTGTGGTAAAAAGCTCTGTACTCGGTCCAAAACTGAAAAGAAACAATTATTCAAAGAGATGCACATCAGTTTTCACATTTATTCCTCAGAAATCTGAGCCATTAAACAGATTCCATTTCAACTGTAATTTCCAGCAGCCTACAGAATTTAAGATGTTTTAATAGAAGCATTTATTAAAGTATTCAATTTTCCAAGACATAAACAGCAAAAATATATCGGATCTATTGGTCAGCATTTGGTGCAGGAAGAAGTCACTTCAACAATTCCACTTGGATTCTTAAAACAAAATGTGACTACTTTACAGAAAACTTGCTTTCAAATTCCATGGTTTAAAACACATATTAAATGCCATCCTGAAGAACTTCCATATCAGCATTATCTCCAATGGAAATATAATTGCATCCTCTTCCCTTTTAAAGAATAGTCTGAAGGTCTCAAAGATGGAAAAATTAGCTGTAGCACAGATGCCATGCTAGACTAATGAAAATCAACATAATTAACAAAAAGAACTCTGAAATTAAGATGGTGAGAGAGAGACAGATGCTCTAGGTTGAAGTATAAAGCACTTCCTACAGAATTATCCCTCTAAACTCAGCGGGACTTCCCAAGAATTTTAAGGTAATCAGTGTCATTAGGAGAATCACACTCATTTCCCTTCCATGGAGGAAAAGAATATGTTCAACCTGCCTCAGAGTCTTTTCAAATAAACTTTGCTGCACACATGCAGGTGAGCCAATCACTAGTTCTCTTTCTTTGAGAAGAGGTAATCCAGGTGAGCCTCACAAAAGTCTAACAGGTATAATGTACCTTTGAAACACTGTCATCTTTGTAGAGACTTTTATCCAAGAAAGAATTTGATCTGACAATTTTTTTTTGCTATTACTTTTTAAATTTCAGCTCAATCACAACACAAAAATACAATAATTTGCCAGGAGTCCATTTTAAACTAAATGCTTTTATACAACAGATATATCATACTGAGAAATTACTTCTAAAAACAAGTAAAAAACCCAGATCAGAAAAAAAAAAAAAAGGCAACAACTGAAAAAGAATAATCTGTCCCTAAAACTTACAGCTGTAATGCCTAGCATTGCAAAATATAATTTACATCTAAGTTACATGAATAACCTGCAGGACATGGAACTGCAGTGGAGGACCTAGCACCAGTAGAAACTGAACACAAGAGTTTCTCCCTTTACCTGTGCAAGGAAAGCACTGAAGAAAAGGTTATGTCACAGATGTTACCTACTCCTTGACACTGTTCCAGCAACAAGCTCCTACTTACCACTGCTCCTTGGCATCCTGACTGTCTGTAAAGTCGTGGCCTTCTTGCTGCTACATTTTGAATTAATCAGCAAAATGTCTTCCAGCCCTGCAAACAAACAAGTATTACAGTGCTTAAGCTGACAAGTTCTCTGTAATTGTCATCTGCTAATGCTGCTCTTGAAAGAAAGAATACAGGGCTACATGGGCCGCTGGCCTGGCCCTGCAGGCCACTTCTTACAGACTCACGCTGTATTTGAAGTAGTTACCCAAGATTTATTGGGAGTTACAATGCACTGAAAAACTACCTGTAATATCCCACAGCAAAGCACAGCGAGATAAGAGCTAAGGCGTGCTAGTCACACCGATTTAAATCCCTGTGTGATGAGAACAAGCCACCAGCAGCGGTGCCGAGGACCTACGCTAACCGTGGGCAGGAGCAGCGCCGTGAAATCCAAGCGAGGCAGGGAAATTCAGCATTAATTACCCACGTTAACCCCCATGACCGCCAACAGAGCCATCCGCCCGGTAACAGTAACTAAAGCGAAGCTTTCTGCCTTTTTAACATTGTTTTTTTGGTTCTTATAAAAACGTCGTTACGAATGTCGATATTATTTAAACGTGGATTTCCCCCACGCCCACACCTCCCCATTATTTACTCCGCATTACCGCAGCCGTGCCCGGGAAAGCAGCTCCTCAGTACACGAGGGACCAGTGGCGCACCGGCGGCCAGGTGGCCTGGTGAGCCCCCTGCCTCGGGCTGCCCACGATCCGAGCCCCCGCTCCCCGCCCTCACCTGCCCGCCGCCGTCCCACGTCCAGCAGCTCCCGGGACGCTCCCGGTGCCCCCGCGCCGCCGGGCCCCGCCATGCGCCCGCCGCCACGGGAATGGCTCCGGCCGCTCCGCCGCGGCGCCGGCAGCGCCCCCACAGGGCGGGAGGGGCACGGCGGCGGGGAACTGCGCGGGAAGGAAAATAAATCACGTTGCAAAGAAAAACAAACAAACGAACAAACAATAACAAAACAAAAAAAAAAACAACAACAACAAAAAAAAACTAACAAAAAAAAGCATAAAAAAAGACTATTAGAGCACACATAATAGTAAACCATCAACCTAACCATTATCAACTTCT